ATTTTTAAATATGAGATCTCTGTACTGCTAATGCCTATTCTGCTAACAGAAACCTCAAGCAATTCAGAGACCTGCTGGATTCTCCACCCCGCAGACGTCACAAAGGCTCTAGGGTCACAAGGCAATGCTGCCGACTCCACAGCACTTGACAGGAGGAGAAAATGAAAAACCAGAGTTACCCCCTTAATGATGTCTACATACAAAGTGCCAATTTAATGAACATTAAAATAAGAACGAAGCCCTAGCCGGTTTGGCTTAGAGGTTGGAGTGTCAGCCTGCAGACTGAAGGGTCACGGGTTCGATTCTGGTCAAGGGCATGCGCCTCGTTTGCAAGCTCGGTCCCTGGCCCCGGATGTCAGGGTGGGTGCAGGAGGCAACCAATCAATGTGTCTCTCTCACACTGATGCTTCTCTCTCTCTCCCCCTTCCACTCTTTCTGCAAAGCCATGGGAAAAATACCCTCAGATGAGATTAAAAAGAAAGAGTGAACAAAACAGGCCACCACGCATCCAGCCACTCTCTCAAAGAGCATCAACATTCCTCACTCCAATACACAGCAAACATAATCTTATTTCTGGAGATGCTTAGTGTTCGTAAAGAACACATTTACTTATCTCACCTAACATAAAAACTGTGTGAGAGAGTTATTTTATAGTGAGAGAAATAAGGTTAAAATAGCTTGCCTAAGAAAGCACAGAGAGAAAGCAAAGGCAAGTACTTCCAAAGCCTTAACTCACCCACCCACCTCCAACGGCCGCCTGGAGAACACACAGTATGTGCACTTGGTATAAGCTCCAGGATGTCTCCAATTGTGACCAGTCATGCAGAACAGGCAGCCTGGATCTGGCGGTTATTACGAGGATGAGAACTTGAACTTTCATGTGTCTTGACTTCGCAAGGCAAGGTGGTTGGGGAAACAGCTAAAATCTTAATGTGTTAATGTTATCTCAAACCAGGTTTCTGCATGTCAAAGCCCTGGAAGACATAGGGAATCTGTGAGCACTGAGGCAAAGACAGAACAGTGACCTTTCTGGGCAGTGGGTTTGCAGCAATTGAATCCCAGGTGACAGCAATTAGTCTCAAAAGGTCACAATCCTCTAACTAATTAAGCACATTAGCTAGAATTCCTGTGGGTCTAGAAATTTGTGGGTAAAGAGTCAGGTTATAGCCCGGCCAGTCGTGGCTGAGCATCAACCTAGGATCCAGGAGATGGCAGTTCGAAGTTCGATTCCCAGTCAGGGCACATGCCTGGGTTGTGGGCTTAATCCCCAGTTGGGGGCGTGCAGGAAGCAGCCGATCAATGATGACTCTACTCTCTCATCATTGATGTTTCTCTCTCCCTCCCTCCTGTTCCCTCCCTCTCTCTGAAATCAATTAAGATATATTTTAAAAAAAAGTTTTAATTATATCCAAAGTTGGAAATAATTTTAAAAATCTATAAGTTTAAAACAATAAACAATACAGTTTTCTAGAATTTATTTTGTCATTAAATATAGGAACTCTTGCCCTGGTCGGTGTGGCTCAACTGGTTGAGAAATCATCCCATGTAATAGGTTGCCACTTTGATTCCTGGTCCAGGGCACATGCCCAGGTTGTGGGTTCGATCCCCAGGTGGGGTGAATACAGGAGTCAATGGATCGATGTTTCTCACATTGATGTTTCTCCCTCTCTCCCTTCCTCTCTCTCTAAAAACAATAAAAAAATATTTAAAAATCTTACCAGTCTTGGCCATTAGCCATTATTATTATTACAATATCCTCTACAGAAAAGAAAAAAAAATAGGAACTCTCAGGCATCAGAATTACAAGGGGCTGGATTACAGAACTACCAGCTCTAATTGGGTTACCCAGAGAACATTTTCCAAGGGAGGGACGTGACACCTCTCGCTTTTGTTCGCAAGAGCATAAGAGTATTTTGTCTCCTGATCACCCACACTGGTTGACGATACAGATATGAAGGTCCACTTCAGTCTTCATATGTTCCTAATACTTACAGGCCACAGGAAATGAGGCAGGTCACATCGATTGAGTTGCATGTTCGGCCTGCAACATTAAGTTAGCAGTCTGATTGTATTATGAAAGCATGCTCCATGAGATGCGGTCCAATAAAATGTAACAGGTAAAGAGAAAAGCTACCTTCTAGGCTGTCTCAGCATACAAAGTGCACCCACAGTTCAACTTAACTCCACAATCTTCACCTAACTTCAGTAGTGCAAGAAATACTTACAGAATCATGGACACTGACATGCCCCAAGCCTTACTTATGCATAAGCTTTGCTATTACTAAGGATTTAAAAAGAAAAGTTTCCCCAAAGAGTCACAGGAATGCCTGTGTGCACAACTCCCAACAGCAGGGCACCCGTTTCTCTGCCTTTTGATGAGCTATGGTCTTGACCTCCATTTCCACCTGAAACAGAGGGGCTCTTCTAAGACTTCACTCCGAACAGCAGCAACGGTGCCTTCTCTGCACAGGTCTATCATCAGCCCCAACCATGGAATCCCCCCCGGAAACTCGCACCCCACACTACACACTGCACTTCCACCCAGATGGAAGCAGAGGGTTAAAGGCAAACCACACCTTGTAACAACACCCTTGTACATATCTGGGGCGCACGAGAACTAATTCAAATCTTATGGGTTAGTCCTCTGGCCCAAGGTAACTATGACTGGGCTGATGCTGCCAGAAGCAGCTGCACCCTCCTGTCACCTGGTCTCTCCACACAAGCACACCCTCCAAGTAAATGAAGCAGGCTTCCTGAACCCCAAAACTTATTTTCAACTGCCTTTTCTGTAACTCCCAAGCCATGGAAATACACTCTTATTTTCAAAAGTGCTTCGAGTTCACGGAAACATTTTCACATACATGATCTGACTCCAAAAATCCTAATGGTAGTCCCTTTCAGATGAATGAACTGACTCTCCCATGGCAGATGGAATGGGCTTTAAACTTGAGATGTCTAATTCTAGGTCCACTGCTTCCTTGTCTACACAGCCCAGGAACACTCACTGCTCCACCTCCATGTGGTGAGTAAGGTCACGGTCCTGGAAAGCCCAGCACTGGGCGTCTGCTATGCTGAGAGCCCTGGGGGCAGTGCAAGTGCAGGTGGTCACTTGCCCTGACAACAAGTGCCCAGAATGTGTGACAGCTTGATTCTTCCAAGGAGTCAGCTGGCCAATCAGGTACTGACAAATTCACCAGTATGTCAGAACCTCAGTTTGAGATAAGAGCAAAGCAACTGTTCTAAAAATAGCCACCATAACACAGGCAGAAGACTGCTGTGGCGTTCAGAGAAAGGCAGTACTCACTTCCTTCCGTACACACATGCCCTCCAAACCACTTCTGTTTCTTGACACGACTCGTAACCACGGAAGTTCTCTAAAGCTTCTTCCCCTCCTTCCAGACTTAAGCTACTACTGTTTTCCTAGTGATCTTAGTAAAATCCTTCCTCCACCCATCTTAAAGAATGACTTTTCCTGGGAAATATGGAGTCACTTTGAAAACATGAGCCCTGGATAGAACATATTTGCCCTACTTCCAACCTGCCCCTGCCCTCTCCTGGTTTAAGTCTATACCACCTGTGCCCTGACCTAGCCCTCTCACCCTTCCTTCCCCACACCAGTCCATCTGACTCTAGCCCCTTTTGTTTTTTTTGGTCAAATAGGTAGATCGCACAAAATTATTGCATAACCTATGATTTCTCTTCTCTGCAGCAGTGAAAAGTCAAGGTTGGCTAATGGTCCAATTTGATAACTTTCCGAGGATGGATACTCGGGATCCCACATGTAAGATTCCGTGGTCTACGCTTCTGGTGTGTAGGATTTGCAGGCAACAGAACGTGGGAAGCATGAGGAATGTATCCCAACAAGCCTACAGACTCCCAAATTCACAGCCACCACCAAACCTTTTAACTTCCCTGATAAAAAGCAGTAACATGTAATTCTAAGAGGGTCAGCACAAGGCCAGCCTGAGAGGCAGAGGCTGGGGCCTGTGGGTGCAGTGAATGGCGAAGTACTTTATTCCTGCCCCCAGCCTCTCAAGTCCATGCTTCAGCAAAACTTTAATCCATGTCATGGCCTTTCTGGGTCATTTTTGGAAACTGAAGAGTATGAATGTTAGAGCCATAACTGCTGTTGGTCTCCAGAGACCTGTCCCCCATTCTGTCAAAGCCTAATCTTATGGTCTCCATGCGAGTGCTTGCTGGAAAAGATAGCAATGGCACATTTCTCTTTATAGGGACAAAGTGGTGTCAAAGATGTATAAGCTGTGAAGAGAGAGAGGGCTGGACTTTCCTAAACCAGAAAGATCCATCACTCGATTCAGACTTTACAAGTACATTGAAGCACAGAGTGGCCACTAGCCACATGTGGTAAGAGTACTTGAAATGAAGTTGGTGCGACTGAGACGCACTGCTGGCGTAAAGAAAGCCTGCCTGGTGCTGAAGACTTAGCATAAAGAAAGGATGTAAGGTATCTCATGAAAAAAAAATTAAGCACCTGGTTGAAATGACAGCATTTTGAATATATTGGGGTAAATAAAACATATTACTAAAATTATTGTCATCTACTTCTTTTTTACTTTTTTAATGTGCCTCCCAGCAAATTTAAAATTACAGGTGTGACCTGCATTGTGCTCAGTCTATTTCAGGTGGACAGAGCTGCTAGACAAAACCTACCAGGGTCTGCTTCTAGAGAAAGGATGGACATGCTAATGGTTTGGTATGAGGTCTTCTTTTTAAAAACCAGACTCTTTTCTAGACCTCCCGTCAGTGAGTGTTGTACAGAGAGACCGGCAACAGCAGCCCGCCTCCAGCTCCAGGCTGCCAACTTGGCAGGCAGGCAGCATACACCAGCGCAGGCCTTAGTCCCTCCGGTGAGGCAGAGGCTCTGCACAGCAGCAAGGGGCTCGGGGCTCCCACACTTCACGCTCCTTTAGTTATCTGACATCTTTACAGTCCTTTAATCATTTTTAATACCCCTCAATAATACAGAAAACACAACTTACAGGTTTTGAGATGGTGAATCCGCTGCTGGAATGCACAGGTATTTAACCCCCTGCAGGATGATAAAAAATAAATTAAAAAGATGATACCCAGTATAGAAAAATACTTAAAGGAACTATCCACTGAGGTCAACAAATAAAAAATAAAAAGGAGAAGTTTTTCACTCATCTTTTGTTGCCAAGGAACTGGGGGAACTCTCTAATTAACGCGCCTGGTTACGTTCCATGACTGTACAAATGTTCATGCTCTGGCTGGGAAGCGGCGTGTAGACCGGGGCATCAAAAAGCCAAACCACTGGGCACCTCCTTCCCGGTTAAGTGGTACAAGTTCCAGACCTCTCCCCTTAGATGCCTGTTCACACGTCCACACTGTTGTCTATTCTATGCAGGACCCACTGTTAGTAAAAACCTTCACATGGTAACTAGAAGTGATAACATATGGTACAGTTCTATCAGATCTCAGTATGAGGGGATTCAGTTTCACTGATGCACCCAATAGGAGCTGTTACACACCATAAATAATGTGATTTATTTTGCTCCCTTTCCAGAAAAGTAAAAACTTATTTACAAAACTAATAGGTTTTTAAAAAGAATAAAAACAACCTTCATATAAAAAAACTATTAAAAAAATCTATAAAAATGTTTATGTAAATTCATGCTGCATAAAAATCAGGCTCACTTTCAGTTTTATTAAGAATCTGGTTGTTTCTTCTTCAAAGGGACTTAAAGTATAGTTTCAAATGTCTTCAGTGTCAAGTGAAAATACAAAGTCTAGACATCTCAGCAACCCTTGCAAAAGACTACAGCTGGATAAAGACTTAGCTGGACCACTGTGAGGCCCTCCTCTCCTGGTAGCCTGATCTCATGTAGTCTACGTATATAGGACACATCAGAAACTAAACAATAACCAACCGAAGGGAGCAAATGACAGACAGACATGTAGGACAGTGGTGTAGACAACCATAGGTCCCTCAACAGACAAAGTTATAAAATAAGGTCTTCTAGATTTTTGAAAATTTTGCAGTTGATCATTAAAATTTTACTATTAATTCCTGTCATTAGGAATATCTGCTAATGTAGTTTTGTAACAAACATCTAAATTTGTGGCTGCCCCAAACCCTGTCACAGCTCCATATTTTTTAATTCCCACCTGAGTATATGTTTCTTGATTTGAGAGAGAGAGAGAGATATCAACCAGTTCCCTCCCTTACACATCCTGACCAGGAATCAAACCAGCAATCTAGGTATGTACCCTGACTGGGAATCAAACCCACCAACTTTTTGGTGTACAGGACAACGCTCCAACCGACTGAGCCCCCGGCCAGGGCACAGCTCCACATTTTGATGCTCTCCCACATAGTGAACCCCACTTTCCCAATATAGAGTTCACACCGACGACACTTCTCAACCTCCTTTGCTATTAGGTTGCAGACTCAGGGCTGAGTCTCGTCCTCTGACACACTTACACCACACAGATTTGGAAATGGGACATGGGGAAGTAAGACAGGTACATAGCACCTGCCTGGCAGGTGCAGATGGCGGCAGAGGCACTGGCAGAGCTCACTGGCCAGTTGTATGATGTGGTCTGGAGGCTGTTCCCAGAATTTCAGCTGAAATCCTGTTTCTCCAGCCCCTCTGAGACCATCGCTCTTGACAAACCCCTTCCTGCTGAAATGGCTCAGAGTGAAATATGTTGTCTGCGATGAAGACACGAGTGATACAATTCCCCTTCCTGTCTCCCAGTGTTATGAGCAGCCAGAAAAAACCATTTCCCTACTTAGTTCCCACACATTTTTTCCAGCTCTGAGTCAATCACTACATCTCCCAGCAGAAGCTCCTTTGGTCTTGAAGATGTGCTTCCCTCTGCTTGTCTGGATGGAAATGCTTCACAGGAGCCACAGGCTTTAAAGCGCAAGGATAAGAGGGAAGGATCATCTGCTGGAAGAAGGCGGAGCTGCAGACTCTCCTGCATCGGGCCTGCTCCGCCCTCCAGGCCTCCCGGGCTCTGCCCTCATTCCCCACTGGGTGCTGCGCTTCCTGCAAGGACCCAAGCAGCTGCCTGAAGTTCCCAAGCCCTGCCCGACTCAGCCAGCAGAATGGAAAAGGAAAGTAGGCTGTAAAAGTCATTTCACTCCTTCCGTCCACAGAGGCCACTCAAGCTTGTTGTGTGGACCACACTGACCACTTCACACGTCTGTCACTGAAGTGACTTCTTTCTCTTACTCCTAAGTGAGACCTGGCCACAGACCAGGCCCAGAGGCTGTGGAGCGCTTCCTCCCAGCCTCTGCCCCAGCCTCTTGCAGAACCTCACTTCGGCTGGAAGGACTTCCAGGTTCCCGCCTTCCTTCCCTCACCGTGATCTTCAGTCCCGGAGTCTCCCCACGGAGGCGGACCCCTCACAGTGAAAATGCCTGCCCGCCACTCTTGCTGGTCTGAAGTCAGCCCAGCCACATAGTGCAGGAGAGAGAAGGAAAGGAAGAAAGAGGAGAGTGCAAGGAGGGAAGGCTAAGAACCTTAGCTGATTAAGAGCAATAAATGCCAACAGCAGTGTGGTTAGAATCACTGTTTCCTTTAGGCGTCCATGGGACCCCAAACGTGTCACATTCCCCATTGTGGTGCCTGATGCACAAGGAAAGGAGGCAGGCCCCACAAGGAAGGGGCAAACTGCAGAGATGACAAAGGGGATCCCTCCCCTTCTGAGCTAGACGACTAGGGGCAACTGCGGTCCGTGGTGGGCTCCCCCCTTCACTGGCTGGGATTGCGTGCGGCATGTACAGCTTCCCATCTGAGAAACTTCACGGGGAACAAAGTAGCTCCTGGCCACAAGTTTAGGCAGGACAGAGAAAATATAAAAGATCATGTTGTCTCCCTGGAATGGTGCCTGGCACACAGTAGGCAGGCAGTCACTAAATGTCTGCTAGATGGTGAGAACAAGGCGAAAACTAGTAACACGATCACACTGTAAGAATACTGCACAGGAAGGAAAACGCTGTCAAGCACCCATGCCTATCCCTCGAGCACGGGAACAAGGCAAGCCCTACGGCCTCGCCGGTGAGGGCACGCTGCATGGACCCCCAGACTCCAGCCTCCTGCCTGCTCCACTGGGATGTGCTCAGAGTCCCCTCACTATGATCTACAACGAGAAGGGAACAACCTATGCAAATGCAGTAAAGAAAGGAGTCAAAACTGTCGAAATGCTCAGCTGCTCGCTGCCCAAGAACATCTATTTATTTTGGCTTAGTCATTAACGAAGCATGAGAAGTATCTTTCTTGGAGGCCCAGACTGCAGAACATCAGGTACCTGCAAAGGCCTCGGATGCCTGCACACGCGGACAGTTCATGGCCGTTACTTACTAATTCAGAGAGCAACAGGACTGCCGGCAGCATGGAGGACCACAGGGCTACGAGAAGTCTGGATGACCCTAAAATTAGCCCAGTAGTAACAGACCGGCTCTGCAAGTGTTTCACTGTGACTGAATTGACTTTTCATTTTTGGACCCAAACGAAAGACCATTCCCTAGTGCTGAGGTTTGAAGAGACAGATAGGGGAAAGGATGTCTATGTCTTCAGCCAAATCATGGAAAGTATAACAAACTTAATTTAAAACAAAAGAACATAAACATTCTAGAACAACCTGAAAATTTCACAAGTTATAAAATAGCAGCAGCGTTTCCATTAGCACAGCATTTGTGGTATTAACTACTTCATATTACCTCTAATATTTAAAAAATCCATAAAACTAAAATCGGTTATCTTCTTTTTAAAATAAAAGTCCTACTAAATAAATAAAAATTCAGTACTTTCCATGATGTTTCAAAAAGTGGTTGGTGGGCAGCCAATTAATATTAAACTTTTATGTAGCTAGTAAAAAAAAACCACACACAAAAAAACCCCAAACTGAGTCTAAGCTTTAAGACTGTCATGATTTCTATGAAGGAAAAGGAAGAGCAGCTAATTTTGTTTGACTACATGGCAATTTAAATGGCCTGACATGTTCAGAGAATGGAGTAAGAGGGGGCCAGAGGGAGGAAAAGGCAGAGAATTCTAGAAAAGCCTCTCACACACACTGACCACATGCACAGTGAATATTCACAATACCAAGCAGTACATCAGCTAGTAGATACGATGTGGGAAAGAACAGGAAAACACAGAAAGTAGGAGTTACATGAGATCTGCTGAGGAAACCTCTTGGATGAAGTTTTTGCATCAGGGTTTGAAAGAAACAACAGCCATCACTGGCTGAGAGGACAGTTTAGAAAGTATTCCAGAGACGACTCTTGAACAAAAGTTAAAGCTCTCTAAGTGCACATTCTCAAAAGTTCTCATATGTTCCGTTCTCTGTTTCAACAAGCATAGTAACCACCAAAAGCAAGTTTTGGCCTTTGTTTGGGCCTGAAACTAAAGAATACACCTAAAATGGTACGCAGGCCAGGACTTAAAAGTAGGGGAAGATTCTGATTTCAGGACAAGTAAAAAGATCAAACTCTCGCTTGTTTCAAGTACAATTTCTAAAATTCACTTGTCTTTTCTTTCTGAAACATCGTAAGAGTCATCTCAAGAATCTCGTTGACATTCTACTTTTGAAAAGAAAGATAAAGCCCTTCAGAATCTGTGTTCTCTCTTTCAAGCTAACAAAAGCAAGTTAGAGAATATACTTATATTCCCTGCAATGACCCATCAAAACCTAAGGGAGAATGTAAGCAGAAGGAGAGGGAGTTTGCTGAGGGCCAGAATCGGGAAGTCTTAGCAATGGAAGGTCACTTCAGTTGCTAATAAAAGTGACATGATTAGAAAACTTGGTTTTTCATCCTATCTCATCAAATATCAGAGCAGCATGGGTGTGTACACAGGAGAGATCCTCCTAGAGAGGTGGCACTACTTCTTTGACAATCACATTTACGACATATCAGGGTAGTATGCTGAATTGGACTTTGCAGTTCCCAAACACAGAACTCTTTATTAATACTGATCATCTAACACCCATTAGCGAGTTGAGCAAAATAAACTGGGGACCCTATTAAGAACTAATTTCACAATACTCTCAAAAAATCTG